AGTAAAAATATTTTATTATGATGAAGAGTTTTGATTTATTTTATCAACTTCAAATCAACAGTTTTAGAGATCGATTTTTCTAGACAACGTTTTATCAAATAATAATCCAAGAAAATTGTGTAAATATGAAAATAAATTGAATGTTATAAAAATTTATTCTTTCTCTTATTAGGAGACATGTATGAAAAGGACTTTCGAATCGACAAACATATTTGATCGAGCTTAGAAAACTTAATTTATAATCTGAATACGTTTAATTTAAATTTGAAAATGAATCCATAAAAAACCAAACCACAAAAGACGCAAAGTGTTCTTTCATTCGATTTAATTGCTTTGCTTTTTTTTATAGGCTACAACATAATAAAAGGGTATTCTAACAATATCTATCGTTCAAAAGAAAACATAAAATGTGATTCATACTTTCATTGTTGGACAGTTCTTCTGGGTTTACAAACAGGATTGCATGTTAGAGAACTAATGTTTCGTCAACATCGAGAGATTTTTAGAGGTTCGAGAACGTCGGAAAAACCCTATAGCAGCACTGAGATCTTGACCAACCGCTCTGTTAAAATCTCATTTCTGATAGAACGAAATAGATTCTCAAGAAGCAGACTTCTTCGTATCTTTCTATGACAAAAACTCAAAATATTCGTCGATAAACAAAGTTTTCTAAGTAAGTAGATCCCTTAATTTAATGATCCACTCATCAGTATCTAATATAGACATAATAGAAATATTAATTCCGACCAAACTATACTTGTTTTAACTAATCCAACATGAGGTTACTGCTTAGGATATTGGACTTAGTTGAAAGCGTGAGTCGGTATGTTTATTCATGCACAAGGCTAACAGAAAGATTCAAAATATCCCAGATTATCCGAATCTCCTAAACAACTTGAAATACAGAGGATGATATTACTTATGAAATTATTTCTGTTTCAGCTTCATTTGTAGTGATTTTGAAACGAATATTAGAAGTAATTAATCCAAAATGTGTTGCACGTTCCCACCAAGCAACAATAAACTTATTTTAAATACTGTTTTGGTTTTAGGGCCAATGTTAATGAACTAATTTCATTAGAAGTAAGTATTCATCAATTATCATTGAGTCGTGAATTAAAAAGTAATAATCCACTATTGAACGATGAATTACTATATCGTGATAGTTTATCAATTGATGATCCATCAATAGTTATTAATCCAACAGCATCGAATGATAAATTAGCAAGTGTAAATCGTCCACCACTCAGTGAGCCCTTGACAAATATTCTTGCATTACCATTGAACGATGAATTAGAAAATATTAATCGATTAACACTTATTGATGATTCATTGGATATAAATCCATTAGCACGTGTTCATGAATCTACAAACAAAGTGGAATTGTTGTCTAATGATGAATCACAAGGTATTCATGGATTTTCATATAGTGATCAAAGAAATACCAATAATAAGTTACCAGAATCGATTATTCGGTTGAAAAAGGAAAGAGAGTGCACGATGAAGGATTATGATGATAGAATAAATGAAACCCGTACTCAATTAAGCAATACAAATGACCACTTAAACAAAATAAAGGATCACTGTACCAACAGAAGTGATGAACGTCCTTTTGAATGATACCTCTTATATCTTTTTCATCACTCTCCTTCCCTTCCCTTTTTTTAGCTAGTTCTACCATTTCATATTCTCCCTTTCTCTTTCTAGTATATAAATCCGTGTTATATGTTAAATAGTTACATTTAGATGTAGTACTTAGTCGAATAAATATCGTGCATTCCGCTGTTTACGTAGCTACTGATAAGTCGCATCGTTTTCTTCTCTTCTTTCCATACTATACTATACTTTTCTTTATATACTTTTATTTATTTTTCTTTGTTCACGTGTTTGCGTGATTAAGAAGAATATTTATTTGGGTATTACTTCCTCTTTTTTTTCGAATTTTAAGTCATATTAATGACTTCTAATTCAAACTCCAATCGTTTTAATGATGGAGAAGTTACTGATCAATCATTGAGTGATAATCAGAATGTTGGTTCTATTAATTTATCATCATTGAACTTAACTAATGTTTCGAATTCTCAAGTTGTTCATGGTCATGATTCACATGTTGGTTTACTTAATGTCAATGATAATTATAATGTTAATCCATCATTAGCAATTGATTCTAATCTTATGTATTCCACGTCATCAGTTCGACGTCGTCGCTCTATAGATGTCACTGATGAATACACTGATGTATCACATAAAAAAAGTTCTAAACGTAGTTCAAATCAAGTTACTGATCAAAATGATCCTATTATTATTAATTCATCAACTGCACGTGTTAATTCTGTTATTTCATCTACATCTGATTCTGTTAATCAACAAGGTAGTAGGAATGATCATGATGATGTTAGTGTTGATAATAATAAATTAAATCAAAGGTTTTCGATTACAAATGAATCAACACGTTATGCGTTAACTCGTTTTCCATTTTCACCTTTTGTTTTACAGTTTAAATCAGGAAAGGTTACTGTTAATCAAGTTAAAGATGAATTAATTCGTCACTGTAAAACAGTTCATCAAATTGATATTCATATTTTGAATTGTCGTTTAATTAAACCAAATTCCAACATTAATCAATATAATATTCTTATTTATGTTAAAGATGTTACATCATTTGCTTGTTTTTTAAATCATGAACATTGGCCAAAGTTATTAGGTAATGAATCATATATTTTATCTTCGTTACCTTCAATTCCTCCTCAATTATGTTGTATAATCAAGAATGTTGATTTAAATATCAATTATGATGAATTTTGTGAAGCTATTCATAATAAATTTCCTGAAGTTAAAAATATAGTACGTTTAAAAAATAAATTCCAAAATGATATAAAAATGGTTAAATTAGAATTAACATGTCCAAATGTTCGTGATAAACTATTAAATGATCGTCGAATTCTTATTAACCACATTTCTTATGTTGTGGCAGAATTTTTAGCTCCTGCTCATGTACTTATCTGTTCCAAGTGTATGACACTTGGTCATTTTCAAAAACAATGTTCACAAACTAAAGAAACTTGTCGTACATGCAGCGAAGTTGTTGATAATATGAAGAATCATATATGTTCGAAGATAGAAAAATGTACACATTGTCAATCGAACCACAAATCTAGTTCTCTTAAATGTCCTGTTGTTAAAGCTTATCGTGCAGAACTTACACGTAAACTATTACATTTAAATAATCCACCTGCAGCTACAGTTGATATTAATAATATTATGCAAAATTATGTATACAAGTCGTCGAACTTTTCACCGCCTCCTGTTTCTTATGCATCAGCAATTAATTCAACAATTAATCCTATGATTAATCCTATGATGAAAAAACTTGACGAATTAATGAACACTATGTCTGAAATGAAGAATCAACTTGCTAGTTTTGAAGTTAAACAAAATACAATTGAACAATTTATAATTGCTAAACAAGAAGGTGATGATCTTATTAAACAAAATTTAGATGCACTTGCTAAGAATCAACTTGATATGAAAAAAGACGTTATTCATCATGGTTTATTTATTGATCGTCATGAAAATTTGTTTATGAACTTATTGTTACCTATGTTTCAAGATGTATTTATATTTATCTCATCATTAAATAAAGATAAGAAGGGTAATACATTAGATACTGATTTAAAAGATAAAATAGAATGTTACCTTAAACAAATGAATAAAGTTAAAGAAGGTAAAAATTTCACAAACTAATGTCTTTGTCGCCTTTAGCTATTCCTTTTTTCTCATGTACTTCTTCCAATAAACTATGTAAACGTAATGAGTTGTTAGCTAAAGCTAAAGTTATGTTATCACGTTTTGATTTTTATCTTCTTTCTAAAATTCTCAATGAATGGGAGAATAGTGTAACTATTCAATCTTGTTTTTCTATTTGGCAAAAGTCTGTATCTAAAAATGTGAATTGTAATACTTCTTCCTGTTCTTCTTCATTACATATTTTATCTTTCAATGTGCGTGGTCTGGAATTAAGATGACAAGAAGTTCTTCTTCTTTTATCTTCTTTGAAATTGGATGTTCTTATTCTTTTGGAAACTGGTCCTCTTGATTCGTCTTTTTTTGACAAAATTTGTCATGACTTTCATATCTTTGCTCAAAAAGGTGAAAATAAGAATGGAGGCGTTCTTATGTTAGTAAAGAATTTTATAAAAGTTTCGCGAATTGAATGTAAACTACCTAATGTTTGTGTCGTAGATGTGAAAGGTGTAGAAGTTGTACGTTTATTAGGTGTATATGCACCGACGAGTAAATCTTGGAATTGGCAAGATTTGTCTCCTTATGTGACTAAGAAATGTATAATTTATGGTGATTTTAATGTTGATTTTTGTCAAGATATTCAAAAAGCAGAATCTCTTTTATCTTGGGCTGATGAACATTTTCTTGCTCCTTTTCTTACTGGTATGCCAACTTCTCTACGTTCTGATAGAGAAGTTGACTATGCTTTTGCAAGTAATATTAATATTACTATTCAAGCTTATAGTGGCAAGACTTCAAGTGATCATGTGCCGATTTTATCGGTTATTCCATTTAAGATAGAAGAAAATAATGTAGGAAAAAATGTTCATTGGAAGGTTTTTTCTCTTTTTACTGAATATACTTTCTCTTTTTGGGAAGGATTATGGAACTTTGATAATCTTGATAATTTATATAATGATTACACAAAATTTTTATTTCTTCTTTCTGCTCGTTGTACGATTGTTTTTCCTATTGAAAAATATCGTCCAGCTATTCCAGTTGAACTCCGTTCCTTCCTTTCATTTATTAGAGCGCTTTCCTTTCGACAAATGAGAACAAAATGTAGCGAACTAAGAAATGAGGTTAATTATTTGAGAAAAATTGCTAAGAAAGAACTTAAAAATTTCTTTTCTTCTAATCTTTCGTCTGTTCTTCGTTTTCGAAATTTTTCTTCACCTGCGGGTAATTTCTTTTGGTCTAGAACAAAGAAACATCTTAAACCTTCTTCTTCTTCTGTTCATGCTCTTATTGATTCTTCAGGTAAAGCTAATAAAGATCCCGTATTGATGTGTGAAGTAGCAGCTGATTATTACGAAAAATTTTTTCGCAAATCTGAAATCATTAGACCTCATCCGTATACTGATTCTCCTTTTTTACATCATGAAAATGTGGATGAATTAATTCCGGAGGTAACTTTGGAAGAGTTGATTTACACTGTGCAGGTTAAACGCAAAAAGAAATCAGTTGATGCACATGGTATATGTAATTATATGTTTCATTTCCTTGATTTAACTCATTGGTCTTTGTTTCTTAAACTATTCAATCATTCTTTTCAGAATACAATTCTTCCAGATGCTTGGAAAGAAACTAGAATGATTTTAATTGCTAAAAAAGAATCTATATGTTCTCCTGCTTTAACACGTCCAATTTCACTAATTGATTCTTTTCTTAAGATTGGTGAGAGATTATTTCTCAATAGATTTCGTGATGTTCTGTTACGTAGAGGTTTACTTCCAGATAATCAATCTGGTTTTCGTGATGGTTTTCGTCTTCAAACTAGATTATTATTATTTCTTGAGGATGTGTACAGTTTAATGTCTAATAGTGCACCCGTTTGTACTATCTTTATAGATTTTCGTTCCGCTTTTGATCAGTTGTGGCATAGTGGTTGTATCGGGAAACTTTTTAGGCTCGGTATACCTCGTTCTTATATTTTATGGATTGACGCTTGGCTTCGACGTCGGAGATGTTATATTGAAATTAAGGGTCATAAATCTCGTTATTTTAATATTGAGAAGGGTGGACCTCAAGGAAGCGTGTTAACTCCCACATTGTTTATTTCTTATCATTGTGACATGGGTCAATTTCTTTCGAGTTGTACAAGTCATTTTTTTGCAGATGATGTTGCCGCTATACTTGCAGGTCAAATGGGTGTTCGTTTTACTGATCAATGTCTTGATCTAGAAAAACGTGTTAAATCGTTTTTAGATCGACTTGAATTTTACTCATGTTTATCTGATCAACCGTTAAATCGTTCAAAAACTGATGCTCTATTTAGTGCTCGTGCGATAGGTTTGCCCAAATTTACTATTTCATTTGATAGTGATGGTGGTGATGAGATAAAATGGAAAAAAGAATATAAGTATCTAGGATATATTATATCCTCTAAACTTGGTTGGGGAAAATTAATTAAAGATGTTGAATGTAAAGTCAGAAAGAGGATATCTCTTATAAGATCGTTTAAACTTTTTGGTTGTTCTTCACCTAGTGTTCGTAAAGTATTATTTTACTCCCATGTTCTACCTTTATTTACATGGATCTATCCTGTTTATCCTCTTTTGACTCGTAAACAACAGGAAAGTATGTGTAAGTTCTATTATACTTCATTACGTCGTGTTCTGTTTTGTCTTGAATGGAATGATATTTTTTTTTCATATGTACTTGATGAGTTATCTCTGGAAGATCGTTGTTCTGCGTACTGGAATCGATATCTTATTGCGCTTTCTGATTCCACAGATGGTAATCTTATTTTCGAAAAAGCGAATCTATGTGAGTTTAGGAAAAGTTGGTTAGATAAAGAATTTTCTATTAGATGTCTAAGGAAATCAAAAAGATTTGTTCCTAATCATTCCATATTAGAAAAAGTGGTTACATGGCTCTCGTCTATTCCGATGAATTCTTCAGTTCCACATTTTGAGATGCAAGATATTGAACTTCTTGAGAATTTTCCTGAGTCTTTTTGTTAGCCTTAAGTTGTTTGTTGTTTTTTCTTAGTATTATCTTTATGTTAGTTTGTCACTTTAGTTTATTTTTTTTCTTATTTCCATATAATACTCTTTGTTCTTTCATAACTCT